CTTCTCTTGCGGTTGCTCCAAGTGCTTAGTCAGTTTTCTTAGAGATTAAAGTACGTCCTAGGTAGCTGAGTGGACTCCACAGGGTTTAATCCAGGGCTGTCTGCAGTGAAGATACCAACCATACCATACGGAGCTGTTTAGAGAGATGCAGCCCCTTGTGAGCACTAATGGTCAAATACGGCTTTGAGCTGTTATCCAGCCTAATCTGCCGATCAGACTGTGATAATTCAAGCTTAGCAAGTTCTGACACCAGCTGCTGCTCTCCCAGACAAGTGCCTGGAGCTCCAAGGAGCAGCACTGTTGATGGGTTTCTGAAGGAGTGCATGGGCCCCAATTCTTAACAAAACTAATTTTTAAAAATCTGAGTTTATTCTCTATTTTTGTTCTTTGCATCCCACTCTTTGCTTTCAGCCAAAGATCCTATGGCACTTGACAAACAAGATGGAAGTGCTTGACCCTTCTAAGTGACTTCATCCTGTTGATTTGCAAAGCAGCCAAATCCTCAGTCAGGCATGGCGCAAAGGGTGGTGACGTCCCCAAGCCTTGCTCCACCATTGGAGTGTCTGCTTTGGAGCATGTCACAGATTTGCTAATCTCAGTCATGACAATTTTACGGCATGTGTTTGCAGCAAGAGTCCAGTTTTGGTGATCTGCTTGGTGTTTTTCTGTTTTATTCCTTTTGGCCTGTCCCTGCCATTCAAAGGCAACACAAGGCATGGGCAGAATAGGCAGATGTCTTGGTAGGCAGACTGCAAGGGGGCTGCAAAGGCACCTTTTTTATAAAGTCTGGAAAAGTATCAGGCAGAAGCATGTACATGAGTAAGCCTGTACTGGGAGACCTATTTTTCTTCACTTAGGTCACCCGCTATATGAATTCCAGTTTCCCACCAAGCGCCTCACACTGTATGAATAATATTCTGCAGCTATGTGTATGTTTTCCGTGGAGACAGGTGTAGTTATTGACATCAGATCTTGTTTTTTTTGTTCTTGGCTTCTACAGATGTGGATAATGAATTTATAGCCTCACTCTCCAGCAAAGCTTCAACTTCTGAGAAGCAAGTTCATGCAAGGAATAGGCCATATACTTGATGAGAGCTCTGCTGTCTGCAGGAGAACATGGTTCATTTAGATCAGAAGGTATTTCTGCCATTTTCTTATTTGAAATTCTGATCTCTGCTGGCATAAAGATATAGAGGAAATGTGCATTGCTGCAAAACTGCATGGAACAGAAAGTTGGCAAGTCAGCAGTGGTGTAATTTATATCTCCACAAGACTGTTTCGCAGTGATTAATCTAAAAAAAATAAATGAAGAGTTTCTCTTATCTTAAAAGGCAGAGGCCAGTAGTATTGGAAATGGAAGGCTTTGGCTTCTGTGACCAGAACTATTATCTATAAATTAGCAACTGGTGCTATTTGTGACACGATAACGAGATTTTAAAATACTGAACCAAAAATGCAGACTACCTGGAGCTGTTTCCATGTGCTAAGAGCTCCATTCTTAAAGATCTTCATTGCTTAATCTGCAGCAGGACTTGGAAGCAAGATTGTGTATTTTGGGACCATGATGGCCCTCAGATCTCCGTTGTGCAAAATAAGAGGGTCTTTGACATCATCCATGAGATCTTTGCATGGCCAGGCACTGCGCGTGCTGCCCCGTCACTAACAGCAGGCTGAAGGTGGGAGCTGGCAACCAGAGCTCTGCTTTTTCTGTGAGGTTTTCTTCTTCCTTGTTAACTTTATTTTCTATTGCAAGTGACTAAAACAAAGAAACACTATGAAAATTGTCCTTTTTAACTTTAAAACTGCTCTGTAAGTGCAGGACATGGTCATAAAGTGACTGTTAGACTTGAAATTACCTGTTGGAGAGAGAGCAACAATGTGTGGTGGGAAAACTGAACTGCCATCCCGTACTTTGGGATGAGGCAGGCTACCTGGAGGAGTGTGATAGCAATATAAGTGATTAAAGTCTGGTTTCTTTCATCTATAGGTACCTGAATAACTTTCCCTTAGTTTAAATTGGGTCACAAAAGAACATCACCTTTGATCTATAATGGGACTTTCCAATCAGTGAGGCCTGAGCTCAAAAAATGAAAAGCAGTTTACATTGATGAGACCAATAGAAAGATATATGAGTCCTTAGGAACAACCTGCTCCAGCACTGTTGGGAGACAAAAGTGGAGGTGGATCTTTGGCAGCAAGAAGTAGCTGAGGGTCAGAGACCTGAGGTGCGTCACCCAAGCGCAGGGAAAGGCACCACTGGGGTGGTTCAAGCCCATGACCCTCCTTCTGGGTCTAAACCATTAGCGAGGGTCTTGACCAGTCCCTAATTTGAATGGTCAGAGTGATTTTGGGTGGGTACAATGACTGTTTTGTGAGTGTGGCAGAGAGCAGGGTGGGGGCGGAACACTGAGTGGGTGCATTTACTGGTCCTCTGTTCATAAGGGGATTCATGCAGAACCACAACAGGAAAAAAATATCTTCTTTCTGCAGATACTGACAATATATTTGCTTTATTTAAAAACATCTAAGGACCTCAAGAGTGTGGTTTATTTTATTGGCTGGTTAATATCTAGAGGATATTCCTTATCAGGTTTGACAGGTCAACTTCTTGGCCTAAATTACTTAACAGCATTTCTTTTAACGCTGAATTCCCGGCTTTTGTTGGTCTGTCTCCTAGCCAGAGTGTTATCTCGCGTATGGAATTTGATTTATTTCTCTGCTGGCATGTCCAGAAGAATCTGTGTAAAGAAAACAAACTTCATGTCCCCTTCACAGGAGATCTTGGCTGCTATTTCTCTACCCACTAAAAGCTTTATCACTCAGGCTTGTTATTACCATACTAAACGGAACACTTCAGAGCTTAGCGGCTTAACAAGATAAAAACATGCTTTGTGGTTAATGTGGTTACCGTAGGCATGCACATGGGGCCGGCGAGGAGAGCTGCTCACTTCCTGCTGCTGCAGCTGTGGATCAGCAGAAAAAAAACTTTGCTTGATAAAGCCTGCGAACACAGGCAATTCAAGATACAGTTTAGCTTTATCAGGGCAACGTGCTGAAGACTGACCTATCCCTTTCCCCCTGCCACCCTGCCCTGCAATTTGTATCCAAACCAGATTTGCTGTCTGCCGGATCTCTTGCTGTAATTTTTTCTCTAGTCAAGTGCTATTGAGTGCAAAGATGTTTTCCAGTTCAAAGGGACAGACTGGGATTCCCCTGTTGACACTATGTCTTGAAAATAATCCAGAAGGCTTTTTTTTAACCCTGTAATGAGTATCTTGTGTCATATGAATTGTGCAAATTTAGGAAAATTCTTTCCTCTGTAGCACTCTTTTGGAAATTTGTGACTTTGGGTACACAATCAAGGCAGATGTCTGGATTCTCAGCTGCTAGAACTTCACCAGAACTTGATTTCTGGTGTTTCCTCCTGCCAGAGATCCAGGTTTGACACCTCAGGGTAACATAAAAGCACACACCTTCTCCAGAAGTATTTCTGAAGAAGTAAATTTGCAAGCATAGCTCTAGGATCCATTTCACAGGCTTTCCCAGAATTCCTCAATGTATCTTGGTTTAATTTAAAGCATGAAATACAATAATTAGACAAACCTGCAGAAGATGCCCAAAGGCAGGTTTCTATCGTAAGCCCCCAAAGCAGGACGCATTATTGTTTGTCTCTTCTGATGCTGGTTGATTCAATGTTCAGGAGAGATCTGATTGTTACGAGAGCATAGTCAGTCCTTTTTTCTCCTTCCCAAAACTTCCTGGGCCTGGCTCCCTCGTGAGACCTTTTTCAACCTTCCCTGTCTGTTTTTTATTGTTGCTGTTAATATTCTACTTTATTGCTTCCTTTCTCGGACCTACATTTTGTTCTTCTCTTTTGTTTTTCTTTTTTATGCTGAAGGATGAGCTGTCCTCCCACAGTGCAAGCAAATTTACTATCCCAAGGCTCTTTGCTTAGACAAGGCAGACATTTTTAATCAAAGATTTTGTAAGCAAAAAGAATAGCCGTCTTCCAGAACGTTGCTAACAAGGACATTTTTGTGGTTGTCATTGCGTACTAGCTTCCTATTGACTGGAATTGCTGTGAGCTGAAGGATGGCCCAGACTGTTCAGGGGTTGCATGGCATTGCTCTTCTGCTCTTTGCATCCCTTCTCATCCTGGATGTGGGGCAAACGAATAACGAGCATCAGAACGAGGGGAGTGGCGAATGTATCGTGTCACATTGTACAGTCACCTCCTATCTGTGCTCTGCACGTCATATCACTTCAGCCTGAGATACCAGTAGCTTCTCCTACCAGCTCTTGTATCTTAATACTGTGTTGCTTCTGCTCAAGCTAGCAGTTAGTTAAATAGTACACAGATGTGTATGTTTAAGCATATGAATTAGTATTTAGAGCTATAGTTCAGTTTGTCGTGGAGTATATTTTTCATGCACACAGCATGCAATAAAAAAGCAGCTTCCATAGCATCGTTCCATCCCAATGATTATGGCAATCTTTCACTCACCAAATGCTTAAGCTCACTCCTAAAGGTTCCAGTGAGAAAGGAATAATAACCAATTAACAAATATTATTGACACTTACAGATAAGGCAATATGTGTGCTCAGAGCATCAGGAGCAGGTGTTGCAAGTAGGGGAAAGGAATATTGATGAGCAACCTCTTGAATCTTGTGCCTTGTGACCTGACTAGGAACTTTGACTAAGAATTTATGAGTGCAGCCATTAATTATCTGTTAGCGCTTTAGATGGTACTTCCTTATATAAATCATTTGTAGAGTGCATTCAAGTGTTTCATCATAACTCCCGTGCAGTGCTGTGATCCTTCTCAGCCTCTTTGCATGCCGTGTGTACCTATTGGGCTGGCTCAAACTCTGTGCAGCGTGACCAGACATACAGCCTAGTCCCTTGGAGGGTTACGGGACAGCATCGTACCACATGTGAGATCTTTGTAATCATTCTGCATGTTACAGGCCAAACTGCCTTTCTGCTCACTCAGAGATAGGGGCCGGTTAGCTCAGTCGGTTAGAGCATGGTGCTGATAACACCAAGGTCACGGGTTCAATCCCCGTTTGGTCCCCATGTGTTGCCTGATCTAGATCAGACGAAGCCCTGCACACGCAAGGGAGGTTGGATTAAACGATCTCTAAGGTCCCTTCCAGCCTAGGCCATTCTATGACATACAACTGGTGTGTTTAGAGCTTTGGAAACCTAAAAAGACTATATGATATGTTATGAAGACAGACATCTGCCTGGGTAATCACAAGCCAGTTTGAGAGGAAGTGCCGAGTCTAATTCTGGTGCCCAGTCTAATTCTGTCAGGTCCATACAGCACCCATTCCTTCCTTGGGAGGTTGACGAGGCAATGGTGAAGAGCTGATGGTCCTCAAACCTGCAAATAACCCTTTCCCAGTATTGTCATCATGGTCACTCACAGCTCTGCAGATCCATTCCTGGCCCGATGGCATCGCACACGAGGAGTGGGGATTCACATGCTTTGCTACTGGCTTCAAAATTCGCCTTCACAGAGAAGTCCTGCCAGGGACATGCTCATCACATCAGTGTTTCCAGTTCATACGTTATGCAAATTGTTTGCACAGTGAAATGCAAAACAAGCTGAACACATTTGAATTCTGTGCAAAGTGTATACTTTGCATTACCTATACTGATTGCAGTATAAGTATACTTACAAGAGTATACTTACTCTTAAATAAGTATAGAGTGTAAATTTTAGTAAGTTGTAATACAAAGCAGTTTACTCACAATATTTATGTAAGTCTCATATTTTGTAAGCATTTGACCTTCAGAGTAATTAATTATTATTATTTTTGCTGTTAATTTTAGCTTTAGGCACATTTTGATATATATCCAGTGAAATTTGTTTCACTGATTGAAAATACAGAGGTGGACTCTGCCTGCATTTAGCTGCAGAAAAGTTGTTTTGACATCTGTGGAATCTCTTCTTGCAAAGAATGTGACTCAGGAGGCAGACATTACCCGCTGTTCACGCTGAGTAGCATCTCAGTTAAGCGTAGAGAAGAGTGGACTTTGGTAAAACACTGACCGATATTCCAAGGGTTGAACTTCAATTATCAAACCTACATTTGAGACTTCAGCTACCTCTCTTGTGCTTAGCTAAAGTTGTTTGTGTGTCTCAAGGTGCAACCAGCTGTTAGGCTGAACTTGAGTTTGACTGTAAGTTTTGTGATTGATCTGAGTCCACCTCCAGCTCTCGTCTCGCTGCCCAGGGAAGGAGCACTTGAGGAGCCACTCAAGGCATCATTTTCCTCTGTGCTTTGCTCCCAGACCACTTCGAGCCTCAAGGAGCTCATGCAGGGCTTTGCATTCTGTGTAGAAGTGCCCTGGTGGGGTGTCAAAAAAGAGGGTTTTAGTCAGAATACAAATATTTAATGAAATAGATATCTCAGGGCAGGGGAAAATATAATAATACAGTGAAAAAATAATAATAAAGTGAAATAATTGCTATCTCTGGAAATTTCAATTATTAGTCAAAATATCCTGAAATCAAAACCTTACTGACATTCAGCCTCAATTATATAAAAACCACTAGGGATATGGAATATGTTCATATAAATGAGGTCTCTGATAACTGAGGGAATTTTCAATGTACTTAATGGATGTCAAGAGACTTGACCCTGTTTTGAATACCAGGGAGTTCAGGATAATTGAAGTTTCGATAATTTAGGTTGAACTGTAGAATTTAGCAAATTAAGATAACGTTGAGAGTGTGAGTTAATTTTAGTTCTGACAAATGAATCCAGTTTACCTAGTTTAGAGACTAAAGCCAGCAGCCACCAGCCGTGGTTACCCCAGGCATCACATACAACCTCATTAACGCTCTCCTGCCCAGCCTCTGGAAGGATCCGTACGCAGAGATGAAGGGAGATTTAATTTCTCCAGGTTGCCCATAGCACATGCTGTCAGGTTTTTTGGTTGGTACGAGGGTGACTTCAGGGATGAGGATTTGTGTCTGCTTGGAAGTGAGCAGTGAGGGGTGAATGCTGGCAGCACAGCAAGCTGCGCGGTGGCTGTTGATGACAATGATGTGGCTGACGAGAGACGGATGCAAGGCAGAAGAGTGTCTTTCTCCCAAGACTGCAGTTCCCAGGGCTGTTTGATGTCCCCAGTGCACACGTGTTCATCCTCCTCTCCTCTCTACCCTCCTCCCTCAACACACGTACTTTAAATGAATATTTTAATGTATTCCTAGATTTGCAGGAAGGGCGAGGAATAAATTAAAATGAATTACCAGTACAGTGGTTTAAGGGTATAAGAAATGTAAGGTTTCCAGTCCTGCTTTAAGTTAGCTGACGGCAGTTACAAAATCTGACAGGCTCACGAAAATGTCTTTATCTGACAGTTCTGAACAGACTTCTTGTCTGGAAGTTTGTTTGTTTTCTTCTGTCTAGTCATAATGAGAAGCCATACCTCCCTCTCCTTAACACCTTGGTTTGAGTACTAGACCCTAAACTATTTCAAGAGAGAAGTACCAAGGAGTGGGAGAGATGTCCTGGCAGTGACAGTCCAGGGGACTCCTGGGAGCTGTTATCTTTTTTTCTGCTGAGCTGCAGCTCTTGGGCAGGACAGTTGATATCAGCAGGACTTTGCTTCTAAACTTTTTAGCAATCTGGGTCTCGGTGTGTCTTCAACTGTAATGCTGAGGTATTAATTCTTTACTGGCTCTGGAGGGAAAAATTAGATAATATGGCACATAGGGTGAACATAAATGTGGATTATGTGAGGGGCAATGGAGGAATTCTTGACTGAGACATACATTAAATATTTGGCCAGTATGTTGTCTGTATCACAAAATCTCCTTCTCATCTTTCAAAAATATGTTCTCATTCTTAATGTAAGCCCTTTTGGCAGTAGGAGGGTAGCGACAACGTGGTAACCAGTGAAGGCATTCTTCGTGAACATTTTAACTTGACGCAGGCTCCGTCTGTCTGAAAGAGGGTTTATCAGAAAGCATAACTGCTACATAACAGCAGTGGAAGGATGCAAGAGGCGAGTAGACTGTGTTAGTTTTATTACACCAGCAGCTGGAAACTCCAGACCACCCTTGGGACTCCACTGGGCTGGGCTTTGTATAATCCACTACTTTCTAAATAGCCAAGTTAAAAATCAATGGAAAAAATTACAGGATTGTCCTCTTTTACGGAGGGGAATGGAAGCATGGTGGTGTCAAGTGCCATATATAAGGTTAATAAAAAAGTATAAAGAAAATTAACCTCCCCAGCTCTTGTCTAGGGTCCTAAACATGTAATTGATAGGAAAGCAGTGTGTATCAAAGCACAGAGGGGAAACACGAGGGGTAGTTTAGACCAAATGTCCAAGGGGACTGTTTTAGGGAAGAATGTTAGAAATAAAAACAGTATTAATCTGCAGGTGTGTGAGAGCTGGAAAGATTCTCACCCTTAGAGTTTTGTTAGAGATAGCTTTCCTTGCAAACATCACCAAAAAAGGAGACAACAATGCCAGCTATTTTCCACAGTAAAATTACCATATAGAGAACCACGGGGAAAATGCCTGAGACCGCGAATTGTAAACAAGACGAGCCACTGGCAGACATAAAAACCGATGTTTTTTTTAAAGTGTGTGTTAAAACCAACTTTGTTTACTTAATTGCAATAGAACATTGTATTTTCCTTAAGAGAAAATTGAGAAAACCTGGAGGGTGATTCTGTGGTTTGCAATAAACAAACACAAATGTGAAATCGAACACTGCCCAAATTACAAAAGCTAAGTACATGAAATGCCCCCAGTGCAAACTTGTCACTCAAGTGCCAACTGTCAAGAGTTGGCTACTTTTCATAAAGCTTAGTTTTAGCCTTTATCTTAATGTCAGTGCTTTGTTATGATTGACCTTCTTCTGGCTGGAAGCCCACTTCAGCTAAACAATACTATTCTGTTCTGAAGAGGGCGAATAGAGAGAGCATTGTTACTTGGTAAAATGTCTTTGGACTGCATCCCAGATGGAAAGGAAGTGGTGTAATTACTGGGCTCAGCACAGAGCACTGTAGGGGCATGTGAGGCAACCGGTCTGCAGTGAATGAGGAGCAATCCTACACCTCTGCTGACTGAGAGACTCTATTCGCCGAGCCATTTTCATATTACTGTTTTATTTGTTCTGCTTAAGCAAAACAACTGCACTTGACCACTGTAAATCAAACAATTCAAGCCAGATTCCCTAAGCAAACAAAGGAAAAAACTTAAAAGAGCCTGCTCAGCTCACAGTGGCTCTTCAGCAATGGCGAACGCAGGCAAACTGAGCTGGCTTTGTTTCTTCTTTACCTGTAGAAGGTAAGCCATATTCTGTTTCAAATCCCCCAAAATTGCAACTCCATTAAAGGTAGCCTCTGCTATGAAATTTGTCTGATCCCAATGATAGGACCTTTGTTTCTGAGCTTGTCACAAAGTAGCATATAAATAAATGTCATTTTAACACATGCATTTATTATGATATGCATTTTCCTAAACACTATTTTTATAAAATAGCATAGGAAGCACATTCATTACAAAGCTTTACCATATTGTGATGAGAGACTTCTCTTTTAAATGGAAAATGAACTCAGTTACACTATTGTGATTCAGTTCTATCTTAAAAGGATCTCAACAGAGAAGTGGGGAAGGTGAATTATTTCAGATGCTCTATCTGCCCATTGTGAGAGACACTTTTTGCCATCTACAGCTCAATCTTAATAGAAACGGGTGAAAGACATATGAGGAATTGTTATTGCCGTCTTACAGAGAAGGAACATAGACACACTCACAGCCACTTGGGAGGCTCGACATAACCAGGAACTGAATGCAGGCTCGTGAGTTGCAGTCTGGGTGTTTTCCTCCTCAGGAAAAGCTCCATTTTGCACAAAGGCTGCTCTATGCTGAGTGCCATCCAAAAATATGACACGGGTGAAGTCCCCATCCCAGCAGACCCATGTCCCACTCTGGACAGAAGACTGCAAAGCCCTCCCTGTGGGCTTAATTTTAGTTCAGAGGCTCTGCCTCATGATATAAGCCATAGGAAATGAAGTGCAGCATGTTCAGGACTAATCTAAA